CAGATGAGCCCCTGTTTTATTTAGGTCAATGTGGGTCTTGTGATGCAATGCGCCCTTTGTAAATGAATGGGACATGCTGCGGCAGAACATGTCGCTGACACCATGCATGCACTGGCGTCTATAGAATGAGCGCCATCATCGCTACCGCTTGGGACATGAACGTGGAAGCGTCACGAGTGCATTTCGGTGCCGAAAGCGAGTTCTTTGTGTTGTGATTAAATATAGTCGAGAATATGCAAGTTCAGGTGACTGTTCTATTCTAAATCATGTCGGAATTCATTCCCCCTAGATTAGTTGTGTTAAACCTGTTCATCTGCTCAGCAGTCACCACTGAGTGTTTTGTTTTACTTAGAGTCAAATAGAGACCACACAAAGTAAATGCTCATTATCGTGTCTTCCTAACCAAAGCTTACTGCGACGCACAATGAAAAAACCTTCGTGAACGAACACAGCGCCACGATGTTTTTCGCACTTCTTGCACAGTTTGGTCTTCTTTCAGTATGATCCAATGAACGAGACAAATCTTAATGCTGTTCATGTGTCTTCGTCTCCTGATACGGTTAACTATTACGATGACATTGTCTGCTCGTGCTCCGCAAGAAAAAAAATGCCTAGGTGATATTATACATTTTGAAGTGGCTTGGAATAAATGTGACTCATGTTCTTTGCAGCTAAATCTAAAAAGCACCAAGTCTCAAGCATGACCAGCTGACAAAGTGGGAAGAAAAGGGGGCCGGGCAAGGAGCTCCCCCCTTTTTTTTTAAACCAGGCCCTTCGCACTGTTAATGAAATGGGATGCGATAGAATCCCATCCCTGCTAATGGGATGCGAGAGAGAGAGAATTCAATGGGGAGCTGGAGAGGTTGATCTAGTCGTGACGCCAATTCGTAGTTGTTCCTAGGAAGCAGCAGTGGTGCGCACGGCGTTGACCTGGTTGAAACGGGCGTCGACGCGGGCGCTGAAAGAATAGTTTGAAGCGAAACTCGGTGTAGTGTTTATTAGAGTAAACGTTTGTTTGAAACGCAAAGACCCGGTAGGAGGGTTGCATTGAAGACGCTTGCGCTTCGCTTGCTCGGCTCGCGTTTCGTCGGTGTTACCCGTGCACTGTCTCTATTCTCAAACGCAATCGGCGTTCTTGACTCGCACCTCGTCGGTGTCGTTGGTCTTCCACTGTGGACACTTGCATTCGGCTTCCCTGGTCGGTGTTCCCTTCGTCGGTGTTCCAAGCGCGACGTCGCCATTCGCCAACGCGGTCGGCTTCGCTAACCCGCAACGCCGGCGACGGTCGAGAAAGGTACGCGCACACTAGCGGGAAGCATGCCCCGTCGGCGTGATTGCGCGACAAGCAGCGGTGCGTTGTCCACATGCCCGCGCTGTGGGACCACGGTCGGGCTAGACGACAGTGCGCGAGCGCGCGCAGCGCGCCTTCGATTGATATGTGGGGTTTAACGTCCCAAAACCACCATATGATTATGAGAGACGCCGTAGTGGAGGGCTCCGGAAATTTTGACCACCTGGGGTTCTTTAACGTGCGCCCAAATCTGAGCACACGGGCCTACAACATTTCCGCCTCCATCGGAAATGCAGCCGCCGCAGCCGGGATTTGAACCCGCGTCCTGCGGGTCAGCAGCCGAGTACCTTAGCCACTAGACCACCGCGGCGGGGCCACAGCGCGCCTTCCCGCGGCTTCTCGCCGACAGAGAGCTGGCGCGGATGAGAAGATGATGCCGACGTGAGGAGTGGGCTCGAGCGTTGCGACTGGTGGATAGGGTGAAGCCACTGACCGCCATTAAGAAAGCTGAATGACGCATCTTTGCTCTCTGATGCGGGCGCTTGGGAAGCCACCGGAAGGTCTCTTCACTACCCCGGAAGTTGGCGTCTTCTGCGTGCTTTAGGCGTCTAATTGATATATTATCTCGCGGCAGTTGTTCTGATGGTAATATTTGTGTTCTATTTTTATATTATAACATTCCCGCAGTCATCCAACGCTACACGAAATATGACAGACACCGCAGCCAGCCGTCCGAAACGGTGGGGTGCTGTGATATACAACTAGTCCATGCAACAAACCCTACGACAAGGCAGTGCACTTGGAACGCTGACTAACGCTACACGAAAAATGACAGACGCTGTAGCGACGCCCTTCGAATATGGCGCAGTGCTGTTACGTACAACGTTACATTTATTCATTAGTCAAGCGACAGAGCAAAAGATTGTCACAGCATTTTTTTACAAAAAAAACAGGAACTAGTGCAATGGTAGCCAGGAGCGCAAATGTTTGTCTTTTGTGAGCGATCCGGGAAAGAAAACAAGAAAACAAAGTTGAGATAACTTCGTTTCGAAGATAAGTTTTTGGAACCGGGCGATCAAAACATCACTTTGCTAAATGATCACTGCACTGTCCGCTTCATGGGGACGGCGTTCATTTGTCCCTCTTTAAGTTACTGACCCACTTCTCGTATAGTTGAGATTTTTAGTGAGGTAAACTGCATATAAAAAAACCAAACATCTTCAACGCGCCTTCATAAATAAAAATAGATGGTCAAATACCATCATCTCCTCGCAAAATACGTTAAAAGGAATATAATTTTGATGTACTTATGCGTAAAATGTTATTGGGACATTTCCGGTAGATAAGCAAGGTTTACAGCTCTCTGCAGTCCATAATTTCATTTAAAAAACTGGAAAAGCCCTCGCGCTCGCAGCAGGCCACTGTTCATGGCGGTGGCTTCCGAGACACCGAGAACAACGGCGTCTTCGGTGGCTTCAACCGCGCGCTCTCGATGCGCCATACAGCTCCCCTTTGTAGAGATCAGTGGGTTAAGCCAGAGAGATGACACGCGGCAAGCGGCGACAGGCTAGGAAGAGAGTGACGTCACGCGCGTGCACTGCGAGGGAAGGCGTGGCCTACTTGGCACCACCCTGGTGCGGAGGACGTTACACAGGCTAGTCAAAGAGCTGCTTCGCATATAAAAACTGGGTTCAATAATATTGGCTTTATTTACTGTTTTAGCAAGCAGATGATGCTTCTTTGTACGCATTTACTGCACTGACTCGCGCAGCAGTCTTGCTGACACCTGGTCGGTAATTCTCTGTTGCGTCACGCAGAACATAATATTGCCAACATGTGGAGCTTATAATCGCAGCGATGAAGCCTATGCAACAAGTTTTTACAGCGAAAGCTGTCATGAGACCAAAACTCGGGTCACGCGCAGCGCCGTAGTTGTCCACCGCCCCGCCACCGGTGTTCGTAAGTACTGTCGCACGAAATAAAGAAAAAAAACTTTGTACGAAGGGTACAGTAGGCCTAGAACCCGGTTTCACTGGGTGCCAGCTCAGTATTCTACCACTGAGCCACGCCAGTGCTTGGGACTTGTTCGCAAACTTGCTTTATCCAGGCTTGATGTCGTGAAACGAATGGCGTAATGTGAATAATGAAGCGCTTTAGAACAGCAAAAGAACAACCTGGCGTCACACAATGCGAATAGCGTAATGAAAGGGTCGTCCAATGGCCCAACCCATTACAAAAGCTTGTTGTTGATCATATATTAAGTGTGAAGCATACCCGGCATAATTCTTCATCGTCATGAGCCACTGCGTAAAAATATTGCGCAAAATTTGCAGCAAGTGTGTAGCAGATACCACGCTTCTCCGAAGAATGACGAAGCATGACATAGTGAATGTTGGCCAACTACACAAAAGTTATGATTTATGGCGTAGTGGGTACCCAGCAAGTGTGCTTGTAGATTTACCCAAAGAGCGTTTAGAAAAGGCTCTGCAAGGCCACTCTTCTAGCTTCTAGCTTTCGCTGTAACTGTGCTACGTGTTCCGCACAGGCCTGGCATTGTTTAGGGGCGAAGCTTCTTAAAACGGCACCCATTCGTCTCTCGTAGTAATGCGTAACATGTCTTGCGCTTTGCCCTGCAAGGTGGTGTCGGTGGGAGATTTCTCCTGTGCGTTGTTGAACAATAAAAAACTCGCAGCATGCATGTTAACTAAAAGCCAAATTCTCCTGTCTCTCATACCCCATTAGCAGCCATTGGCATGTACATTGAGCACTATCTGACAAGAAAGGGTTGCTACGTTATACCCGCTGGGCGTAACCTCCTAGGTTCTAGAAAGGTTTAGCGAGCGTTAGGCCGCAGTGCCATGAATACAGTGAACTAGTATATTTTATGAACTCGATGTGGTTAAAGGTGGGAAGTAGACACGAAGCGCAAGCTGTAAGAAAGTGTGCGTGTGCCTCCTGTCGTTCAGTCCTTGGAATGTCCGCTGGGTGGTGGTGCTTCTATATGAGGAACATATGATGAAAGGATGCGAGATGGTGGTACTTGGAGTGTTGAATATATGGACGAACGGACACAGGCAGATGCATGGACGGACGCATGGATGGTTGCACGGATGTATGGACGCATGAACGGACACAGGGGTGGTTGCATGGACGAACGCAGGGATGGACGCACGAACAGACGCACACACGGACGGGCGGATGGACGCATGGACGGTCACACAGACCGGCGCATGGACGGTCGGAAGTAAGAACGAATGAGCGGACGGATGCTTCGCCCCACTCTACATCATTCACCTCGTAGATGTGCTGCCAATTTTTTTTTTTCATCAGGCAATCATTTTATGCGTTAAATTATTGCAATATAGCGCATTCTCCGTTTGTTATTTTCTTGACCCTTATACGACCACTTATATCAGTCGTCTTAAAGCCGAGTTACTATAGTTCTCATAATCAGAATTAGCAATTTTATACTAATTAGATAACATCAGCTTATAGTTCACATGTATTTCCTATGAGATATCGGCTTGGAAGTGTTCTTCGTGTTTGTGCAGTGGAGAACTGGACTGAATGTCGGAGTCTCCGCACAAAAAGACAACCTACGTATGCGAGTGGCCTTAGTATACTCGTGAAATGCATTGATCTCTTTTGTCACTTATCGGCTTTGCTATCAATTTACTGAATTGAAAGAGAATCGTTGGAGAGAGTAATGTTCACGTATTTGGTTGTTTCATTTAGGTTCATGAAGTCAGCGTTGCTATGAGCCATATGACACCACATGTCAACAAACAGTATTTACCACAGGAAAGAAGTTTCTTCCGCAGTAGTACACATTCGAAAATGTTATCTTAACACGCTTGATTGAGCCCATTTGGTAAGTCAGTGTGGCTGCTGCATTGTGATAACAAAATCAGTTCACGAGGACGGTCGATGGTCTTCCGCACTACGTTAAGTGTGGTTGCGTCTACTGTTGAGGTCCACCATCTCCATCATGTCTGAGGTTGAAAGCAGCCGCGATGACGTTTATCATGGCCACCATAGGTTGCAATGGCGGTTGCCACGTTGGTGAGGACCTCGGCGCGTCTCTGGTGGCACTCCTTGGACAGGTCCAGGAAGCCAATGACTACGAGCAGTCCCATTTGGATGACCTGGTTATTGAAACATGCACATGAATATTTCAGGATATTAATTTCATTGCAGACGTCTGCTTTGAGCAAGGCCTGAGCTATAATACAAGCTATTTGTAATCTTCGCAGTTAAACCGCTGCTATTCCGCTACTAGATTTCTCCGATGAACGTTTGGTGATAAGTGGCATTTTGGAGTGAATATCTCTTTAGGTTTTTGTGTGTATCACTTATTTATCTTAGAGTGACCTTATTATTAAGAAACCAAGGAACCATTGAAAAGCTATCCTTAATTTCCTAACGAGATATGCAAGAAAGAATGATGATTATATGTGGAGTTCAACGTCCCAAAACCACCTATGATTATGAGGGACGCCGTACCGGAGGGCTCTAGAAATTTGGCCACCTGGGATTCTTTAACGTGCACACAAATGTGAACACACGGGCCACCACCATTTGTGCCTCCATCGGAAATGCAGCCGCCGCAGCCGGGATTCGATCCCGCGACCTGCGGGTCAGCAGCCGAGTATCTTGGCCACTAGGCCACCGCGTTAAGGCAAGGAAGAAAGAAAAAATAAATATTTTACAGATATGACTTGGCGTTAGGCCGCGATATTGCGTCATTACAGCGCGAGAAAGCTACAAACACAACTTAGAGGCACACTAACAGGTAACGTCATCACTGTTATATATAGATGGGCTACCCTGCGCCCTTAAACACAGTGTCGGACAAAGCTGCTGTAGGGCGAAACACAGATAATACTTACAAAAAAAATAAGGCTGATCCCTCTATCTAGGACACGGTATAATAGAATAGTGAAACGTGCCTTGGCAGAGGTAATTGAGCGCTTATTAGAGTGACGAGACTAGCAGAGCATGCGCAGCGAGGGAGTGGACGATGCCGACGCCGAAGCGTGACTCACTGCGACTAAGAAATGCTCCGCATTTAAGAATAACCTGGAGAGAACGGGCCTTGACCTCGGGGGAATCTGCGTGGCAGCCCAGTAGTCTACCGCGGAATCTCACTGGTGCTTGGAAATACTTTACAACCCATGCATGTTTCATGTCGGGGAAGGAATCAGGTTAACATGCGTAATGGGGCGTTTTAACGAAGTAAATGAACAACCAGGTGTCACACTATTTGAAATGCGTAACGCGTGGGTCGTTGAATCATTTCAACACATTACATAGCGTTCAGCCATAATTCTTCATCGTCATCAACCACAGCATCAACCAAGTGTACATAATACATTACAGATGTGCAGCAGGTGCCACGATTCTCCGAACGAATAAGGTCATCGTGAGTGCTTCTCTGCTTCAAAAAACCAAAATAAAAGATGATTTATGGTGCAGTGAGTGCCATGCAACGGTAGCTTGGCCTCAAAAGTGTTTAAAGAAGGCTTTCGCTGTGGCTGTGTTGCGTGCCAGGAAGGCTGGGCATTTTTCTTTTGCACGTGGTGGTGGTTATGGAGACAGGCGGTGGTGTGCTTAAGAACTTTCTTGACAAAACAGTTTTTTTTTTGTGCGAAACAGCCATTAAAGTATGTCCCCATATATTTTGTGAGATAACACTACATCCGATGATAACACGCAATAAGTCTACGCTGCCCGAGCGAACGGATCGCTAGAACTGCCCATGGTGGGCAACATAGAAACGCACAGGCACTATAAAGAAACGGTACCACCAGTGGCATTAAACTTATTTCTCTCCGCGGCAGCTACTCCACCCACCCCACTAAATTGCGAGACAGCTGCAAAACACGCTTGTATACAAAATGCCGTTGTTTCCGTAACACATCTAATGAACGTTCGAACATAGATGAGTTCCATAAATACCAGCAACACTGTAAAAAGCCCCTAAATGTTCAGGCCACTCTGCGCTGAGCCGCCACTGTACATGAAAACAAAAACTACACTAACTCCCACTAAAGGGAACCATGAGTAGCGAAGTAGCGCATGGGTCAACCTAAAGTTTCGTTCATCGCGGCCAACTTGCCGGATGTTAACGCGTCCCCGAAAGCGGAGTACTCATGAATTCACTGTAGTTTCTGATGCTGTCACTCGCCCTGAACGCTTGTTGGAGCACGCTATGCGGGTCACGGGTTCGTCGCCACTCCACGCGGGAGCTGGTGAGCCCATCGCGCGTCTACTGAATTTCGTTCCCTGACGTCATCACGGGATCGCTGAGAGTTTAAGGGTGAGAGACCTCAGCCTCTTACACAGCCACTTACGCAGGCTTGAACGCGTTAACCTATGAGCCTGTTATGACACTGCTTGGACCAGAAGAAGAAGGTATTTAATGAGAAGAAGGGGGAAAGGTCAGCCTTGGAAGCGGGTTTCTCGCCTGCTACTCTTCACGGGGGTAAGGGGAAAAGGGAAAGAAAGAGGAGGGTATGATGAGGGGTGATTGTGGTATAGCACGCTTGGGCCAGCTTTTGCGCATGCCCAGTAAGGGTGGTCACGCCACACACCACTGGATTGAACTCCGCCACAAGCTGCTTCATGAAAACTGCAAGAATGGCGCGAGCGCTCGTGTGAGTGAAAAGTACGAAGGTGAGATGGACATTTCATTGCGATGTTTTGTGGTTCAGGTGGTATGCATGCCGCCTAAACGCACGAGAGCTCATTCACAATGGCGGCCGTTCGCTGTTTCCCGCCCATACGTACAGATGGCGCCGCAACAGATCTTTCTTCGCAACTCGTCTATTGCAGAGCCTTTCGCCGGACGTACGAAGTGACGATTTGCCAAATCTGGCAGAAAGCTTTTCCCCAATGACATTTTTTAATTGAGAGATCTCATTCACGCAGTGCTTCTGTGCTCTATAATCGTTTACCGTTACAAATTCCAGAGAAGGTGTACAACCATGAAGGCTTATCAGGAATTCGTACTTTTCACTCACACGAGCGCTCGCGCCATTCCTGATACTGCGTGAAGAATCTTTAAGGCGTAGAGACAGAAAAGTAAAAACGATACTCATGCAAGGGTAAGTTCTGATTTAAAAGAATTTTTTTTGCACTGTGGTCTGTTTGATTTTAGAATTCCCTTGAACGTGTGTGCCAAGTAACGCTTTTTTCTGTGCAGCCATTTTCGGAGTTCAATAGGTTTGCCTACCTTGCCACACCACTGGAAAAGTTGATTTTTCGAAGGCCTACTTCATTGGTGCAGTACGAAGAACTCTAAGGATTCCGAGAAGTGCCATTACCAGGGTGGCCGCGGTGTGCTTGCACGTACAGACTGGAAATGCTCTCAGCGCCTTTTCTTTCTCCAGAACCGTTTTCGCTTTGCGTTCGTCTTTGCAAATGAGGAGAATTTCGCAGTAGTTGTACGCGCTTTGGGGAATGTATGTAATGTGTGAGCTACCGCGCTTAGTAGCGGGGTCAAATAGCCGAAGGTCATTCATTTAAGCGGCTGCTAAGCAGCTTTTGTCCAGCTGTCATGATGCCACCATATGACAGGTTGCCAGAGAATAGGTTAACATGAACGAGTTCAGAGGAGGCCAATCACTTCATGCAATTAATATTCGTACGTTAGCGCAGCAGAGAAAAAATTATTTGAAGCAAATAAAAGATTCGGGGGGAAAGGCAAAATCAATCTATTTACGGCGACTGACTTTATTGACAAAGAATGACGTTTACTAGAGGTGGTGTTTTAGACATGCTCACACGTGAAGACGGCTTTATTTGTGGTGTCATCATTTGGCAGATCCAGAGTGCTTCCGGTAGAACTCTTTTTTTCTTTCGCTCCGTACAGGGGAAGCTTGTTCCACTGGCAGATTAAGAGTGTTTTCTTTATGTTGCATTGGCAAATTCGTAGCAGCTTTTTCGCGAGATCCACTTCACGAAGCAACTGTTTTTACTCCTCGAAAAGCGGTGGATTCGACCGGAAGTCGTAAGTGCCGTGTGCCCCGGAACGGTGCAAACTAAAGGTGCGCCAACGGACGCCGGTTGGAGCTTGCGTTTTGCTAGTGAGGCGTCGCTACGCGCGCATCGCGTTCCATTCTGCTCCTGCTATTTGCTTCAGAGGAAGTGTGTATGTTTCTTGGGTAGATTCCCTTCAGTTGCCCTCCGCCAGAGTGGAGTACTCCGGCGTAGTTTGTCCGCTACTCCGAATCCGCCATTGGGTGACCCCGCAACAGCGAAGAAGACGGTACTAAATGATTCAAGCACAATTTTACTTAGCAAGCATAAGATATGCTTTTTCCGAAACGCAGATATTGAGTGAAATATGAGGCACGCTAACTTCAGAGATGCAGTTTTATAATGCCATGAACTATTAATGTTACCATAACTTGACCTGCTACACCATTATTCACAATAGACATGGAATTATTCTGGAACGCAAGCTGTTTTTTTCATTCAAAATTCACATTTTCATTGCAAGTATGTCATGCTATTTCATCATACGAAAACTTCGGCCAAAATATCCACCCTTTTTCAAGAAAGGTCCCTTGAGCTCCTTCTATGCGGCAAAATGATGATTATGATGATGATGATGATGATGATGATGATGATGATGATGGCCTAAACGCATGGCTCACACCAACTCTGGAGGATGGCCCAAGAAACGATTAATTAGATAGTGGATAATGTATCACTTTTAAATTTAATGAATTTTAAAATGGTTAGAAGAAATCACATTTCGCTAGTTGAGAGATTTGCAATCGAAATAGCCCCTGCAGCACGTGTTCATTGTTTTTTTTTTCATTCCAAGAACATCCAGAAATAATAATAATAATAATAATAATAATAATAATAATAATAATAATAATAATAATAATAATAATGAGCGACTGATAGAACAGCTCCTTGCCAGGTTCAGGGTCTTACGGCTACTGATGCTAGCTGGGCTGTGCTCGTCTCCTGGCGGCTTGAATTATTATTATTATTATTATTATTATTATTATTATTATTATTATTATTATTATTATTATTATTATTATTATTATTATTATTATTATTATTATTATTATTTTGTTGTTGTTGTTGTTGTTGTTGTTGTTGTTGTTGTTGTTGTTGTTGTTGTTGTTGTTGTTGTTGTTGTTGTTGTTGTTGTTGTTGTTGTTGTTGTTGTTGTTGTTGTTGTTGTTGTTGTTGTTGTTGTTTAACGCCTCAAAGCCACCACATTTACGAAAACGCCTTAGTGGAGGGCTCCGGAAATTTCTAACACCATGGATTCAATCACGAGACTTGCGGGTCAGCAATCAAACATCATAACTAGGCACTATACCATAACCGCGAGGTCACCATGCGGGCCACACTTTGAAGACTGTGCAAACCGAACGCACATTTCACGAAGCGCGTCAGGCGCCACGCTAATCACTTGACTAGTGAAGCTATATGAGACACATTTTCCCAAGTGATCTGAAGTAGCGAAGTGCGCACGCATTAAGCGAACATCTCTCATAATCATGGAGTTCTAAAATACGTCTCTGAGTATGTCAGTTGATTCATATTTCGACCAATACGCCTATATAAATGCTGCACAATTTGTCTAGGTAAATTGAACTAATTCCTATCGATGCACTGGGAATGTTGTTATTTTATCACGTTTTCGTCAGAAAATATCATTTAGTGATGCGGAGAAATGTCCGATGCAGTGCAAGCGTTATGATTTTTGATAACAGTAGGATAGTGCTATACTGTCATTCCGGCTGAGTTTATCATCGATGTCAGCTGATTACCCCCTTTATGTAGCTGCCGTTGGCAGGCCCTGAAACGAAGCCATCAGAGCCTGTCCCGGGAAAAAGTATAATGTTTCAATTAAATATGATAAAAGAGCGGAATGGTTCTCGCCGTCGTTGTTACGGCAGCGTAGATCCAGGCGTAACGCTTCGATTTCTCGTTTTCCAACGTGTCTCGGCACCCCTACCTGGAAGGCAATGGAGAGTGATACGAGGATCAGGACCGGTGCGTAGAAGTCGAAGCCGGGTCCCAACTGTAACACGTGCTTGAGCTGCGCCCCGTTGGCCGACAGCAGCGCCACGTCGAACAGGCCTTCGGAAACACTCTTCTTGGCCGCGTACCAGTTGCGGAAGTTGACCTCGGCATCGATGGCAGGCATGGAGGGCTGTGGAGGTGGCAGACCGACGACTCGATCAACGTTGTCATTGTCCACCTGCAGGTGCCGAGAAGTCATTCCACCACCACACTTGACCAAGCGATTCGTACATGGCTGCTACAATTACGATGCAGCGTATGTAGTGCTCCCAGTTTCATGAAAACCAAGGAAGGTATACGGGCCATGCACTCTCAGATGATGCTTTATTTATTAATACATTTTAAAGGGTTATTCATTACATTTAAGAGAGTTCAGCTTTTTCTTTTTCTATCTTTCAACATATGACGCCACGATGACGTCAAAGATCGTCCAACTTGTGAATGCATAGGAGTCCCTCAGTGTTTTTCATTTCTCTTTAACGACGCTGAATTCACTACAGCTTGTAAATCACTATCGCCAGGATATGCTGATTATTCATTCGTATTTACTTGCTTCATAACAACTTTATTGTTGTAGCAAAACAGCCTTTTGGGCCAGTTATACTGTGCTAGTTTTTTTAACTTCAGCCTATTTTCGTCACCAGTGGCGAGATGGGACTACCAGCTACAGTTTGGTGTTACGACCTCTCGCGTTTCGATCAGCGCCACCTCCACGGAGCGTGGTCTCTCCTGCGCGCGCGCTTGTTAGACATCGGGAAAGCACAAATGTAACTTTGCTTGCTGCCGCAGCCCCGTTTACGAAAGGCGCGCACTGTTTGTTCGCGCTTATCCTGAGTGAACTTTTTGCGTCTTTCTGTTTGCACAGCGCGCTTCAAGTGTCGAGCTGTGACAGTTGTTAGTCTGCGCTTGTCGTGTGTATGCTCATTGTGTGCGTGCTTTCTGCTTGAGGTGCGCGCTGCAAGTTTCGAGATGCTTGCCGTCATTTGCGTGACTTCGCAATTTGTTGCTGTAGCATTCATTCATAAGCCCTTGTGTCGAAACAATGCTGAATAAACGCTCATCTACCTCTGTGAATACCCGTTTCATTTTCGTGTTATACTGATTCCTAGAAAGAGGGATCAGCCGCATTTTTTTTTTTCAGCGAAAGAGATCAAAACTAGGGTCACGCGCAGTTGTCCGCCGCCGCCGGTGTGCGTAACCACATCACGGGAAATTAAAAAAATAAGACGCAGTGGGGCTCGAAACCAGGGTCTGCTGGGTGCCAGCCCCTGCAGTATTCAACCACTGAGCTACGCCGGTGCTTTTGACTTGTTGGCAAACCTAGCACCCAAGTCACGGTGGAGCTCGAACCCGGGTCCGCTGGAACCCGGGTCAGCCTGGTATTTTACCACTGAGCTACCACGAGAAAGCAATCACATTAATACCACTTATAAAGCGTTTTGAAACAGCGAAAGAACAACCAGTCGTCGCACAATGCGAATAGCGTAACGAGTGGGTCGTCCAACGCTCCAACACATTACACAAGCTTGTTCTTGTTTCCCTATAAACTCTGGCACATACCCACTTCAGCCATAATTCCTTTCATTGTCAGCTACTGCATGAACAACTGGCACAAAATTCCTTCCAAGTGTTTAGTGGATACTACGCTTCTCAGAAGAATGATGAAAATTAGCATAACGAATGCCGGCCTACTACCCCCCAAAAAGTTATTAAAAATGCCCTAGTGGGTATCCAGCAAGTGTGCTTGCTGTAGTTACCCGTGTTTTGAAAAAGGCTCTGAAAGGCCGCTCTTCTAGCTTTCTCTGTGACTGTGCTATGTATACGCCTTCCGCACAGGACCAGCTTTTTTTTTCTGCATTTTCAGATTCGTGAAGCGCCCTGGCCAGCAAGATCCGGTGAGTGCGCTTATATCCCAGGTAGATTTATACATACAGCAAAATTTCCGACAACAACAAAACAGCGTGATCCTTTTTGAATATTGCGTAAATGACGACGAGCGCCGCTATCATCCTTTATAGAAGATCAGAGTGGAGGTGGACATGTGGACCTTGCTATGGGGACGGCGGCTCGTCTTTTTCTCAACAAGCACCTCGAAGCCTTTTCAGCATGAAGCTACAATCATGATCAGAGGCAGAAGCCAGTGAAGCATTTTCAAAGATATAGTAGATTACATTTTAGTGGGAAACTCGGACATACAAAACAATGAATAAAAATGTGCTCTTTAGCATCCGGCGAAACTGGTGAACTGTATTTAATAATATGTAATTCCTATTGAGTTTCAATATTACGATATTCGTGATACGCAGAAAGGACGTCAGAAGGAAAACATGCAATTGTGTTTCCTGTATAACACTGTGTCGAAAAGTCGAATATATTACTGATTCCGTTAGTGTCACACCAAAGTTGCGTAAAAGAATTTTACCTTATTTGGCACTGCCTTGAAGGATACCAGTTCAGTCATGTCCATGCTGAAAGCAGAGCTACAAACTACGCTAAGTGGTGCGACAAAATTCACTAGTGGCGGCGAGACATGCTCGTGAATTCCAAATTCGACAGCTGTGGGCGTGAGAACGCTGGTTGAAAACGCGTCAATCCAGTGCAGTGTTCGCTTTCCACTATTACGTGCGGAGTGTAGCTCGCTGTCACGACGTGCTCTTAGAATTCCTACTGCGTTACGTGGTCATTATCGCATGCGATGGGAGATAACTTCTTTGATGGGGCTTACGCAAACACGGATGATGCAGGCCGACCACACTCGCACGCTGAAGGCCGAATGGTGGCCGTGGCGGACCCAAAAATATCCATTTATCTCACACCGATAAGTGTGAAATTTTGTTGCGTGTAAGCCTCCTCTTGCAACCTCTCTGTTATTAGCGGTCGCAAACATTCCAGATAATCGAGGTTATCGGTGAAATGCTAATCGCAGTAGCTTGCACCAACTCATGACATTTCGACTGTATCTCTCCCGCAAATATTCTGGCTAGTTCCATTGTCGCAAGGGACAGAGTTTCCCTTTTTAAATTTATTATCTAAAGAAATGATGCACTAAAAAGTGCCCCAAGTTCACCCATACTGGAATATTCTGATCAATGCTCTTTAGGGGCCATCGCAAGGGGGGTAATTAAAATTACTACGAACGTAGCTCTTCAGTGTCACATTGCTTCAATGAAACATAATTCTTTACCATTTGATTTCAATCCAGGCTGCACAGGAAAAAATATGGTGGTGATGGTTCCCAAACCTTTGGTCACAACAGCACATGACACATCGTTGAAAAGATCTGCCAATAAAAGCAAGTGGTGGACTGGTCGGTTCTGCATACAGTACAGTTTAGTGCGAAAAAAAAAACAGACAGGCAAGGCCTTTTTGGCAAGCGTTTTCAATACGCGATTTAAACATTGGCCACTCAGTGCCAATTACTACACTGTAGAATTTTTTGGAGTCCATCGTCCTTTACGTAGGTGGGTATGTAATCGCTGCCGTGAGTCTCAATGCCGCAAAATCATTTAAATTTGTGAGAGAAGCATCGTGACACCAAAGGCAGGTAAAGGCAGCTGCTATACATGAGACCCCGTTATTATGTTGGGTTACCATTGTTCATGAGGCAAAGGTCGTAGTCAGAAGCGAATGTAGCAATATCCCTGCCCCTGGCATTCATTATAGTGCTCTCCCAAAGCATGTGATGCGCGTTGAAGTCACCGGTGATTATCTAAGGCCCGCTGGTCTTCAATAAAATTTCTTTTAATCTCTCGCAGTTAAATAGCGCTGATGGAGATATGTATTCACCAATAAGTGTGAACGAAACAGTGTTCTTCTTTACAGAAAGACACACGTACTAATTGTCGTCATTGGAGCTTACTGAATGTGAAACGCAAGTCAAGTCCATACGGATGTAAACAATTACTTTACTTCGATCTTCGCAGGTGGCTGTTGAAAAAGCTTCATAACGGGTCAATGTTCAAGACGTTGGTACATTTGGTTCACATATGACAAGTATAGGGAATTGATTGCCCCGAATGAATTTGCGAAAATCCGAGATACGGTAATTCAAGCCTCTGGCATTCCATTGAAAAAATTGACGCACTTTTAACTTCAGTGTAGAAGAAGAGATTTGGTTGAGCCATTGTGCTTATACGATATTACTAATGCAAGCAATGGATTCAGATCATTCAGTACTTGCAGTGCATTATCAGCAGATGGAGACTGTATGCTGCTCAGTAGCGTGCGAATCGTGGCAAAAAATGATTGCCCGATTGCAGTCACTTGCCTGTTTTGGTTGGAAAGATCCCTAACCGAGATTTCGGGCTTGTCGTCATGAAACTCCTTTGGTGCTCTTGGTGCTGCTTCTCTTTGAAGTGCATGCATGCTGGTGTGTCACAGTCACAGTGTGCCCCCGGGCCTTGTCCTTTGCAGTCTTTCCCGCAGCATGTGGTCTGGGAGGTAGAAGAGGCGGTAATGATGAGGGAGCTGCCAAACATATTGAAAAGGTAGCGGGCGTCATTGAAGGCCAACGTTGGCGTGAACGATGCCTCCTGACTTCAGCAGCGGCTTCTAGATGAGATGAGTGATCGCGCACCATCTCCTTCAAGGTGGCAATTTCCTCCTGAATATGGGGGCAATACTTCGATGTGGCTTCATGGGATCCATTGCAATTAGAACATTTCTTTACAGTAGCTACGCACGTATATGCTGCATGAGGCTCGGCGCAGGGGTGACACACCGTCAGATTCTCGCAAACGCTGCTCACATGCCCAAGTTTCCTGCAGTTACGGCACTGGAGAGGTTTTGGAATGGTAAGACGCTCAACATAACTGAAGTGCCCCACATTAACATGAGAGGGTAGGGATGGGCTCCTAAACGCAATCTTCCCACAGCGATACTTGCCCAGCCTGTTGACATCAACAATGGCAGCATCAGTTATTGACTTGACAAGGACTAGAAAGTCGTTATTTGCAGCACAGTCATCTATGTCGTAGATCACGCCGGTTACTACATCAGATCCCAAGGGAACATGAGAGTGCACCTGATTTCCGCTCAAGTCCGTTACACTGCGTAGAACGCCCAAAGCACTTGCGTGTAGGACGTCAACAGCCACTCTATTCTTTCTGGCGTTCACTCTTACACCCGTGATCGCATTTCGCACAAGCGCTTCCAGAGACCTCGGCACAGACTCTGTTAAGACGTTTCATGCTTAAGCTAGGAAGTGCAGGCAGAAACCGGATGTTCGATTTTCACGTTTCTCTTGAATATTTGAGGATGTCCTCGTGTTCCTGCCCTCCGCACAGGTTAGAAACCGACACCTGAAAGTAATTACTGCTTAGAGAGTACATATTTTATCTTCACTGTCGCTGTCGCTCTCTTCTCCAATCCGGTTCCTGCAGGCGGCCGCTGCTGATGCCGATGGTGCGGGCAGGCGCCCCGGGTGGTGTACATGCATACCCTCCAAAAAAGCAGCGAAAACCAATCAACAGACCTCAATTTCGATAGAAATAGCCGGAATAAGTAGAACTAGCACTTATTCAAAACACACTTCTTGATTAGTGTAACGGGGTAGTAACAAAACTTGAGGAAGACACGTGGCAATATCATAGTTGAAATCAAGAACAAGAAATGAACATGGGCCGGGCACGTAGCCCGGCTCACTGGATTCCCAGAGAAGGCAAGTGGGGGAGGCGGATGTCAAGGAATGAGAGCGACGCTATGGCTGCCCCGTTTTCTTCCCTTTAATAGAATCCCGAATCCCCATGATCATTATACGTATGCCCTAAATGCGACCGTTGTTTTCTTCTATATTCAACACATTCGCACCCACGCCAAATAGTGAACATGCCTAGTCGAAGCACGAGCATTGTCAGTACTTAGAGTCTTCATATGGCTTGCATTGGATGGAGTAGTTCGTGGTTCAAGTGGTCACTAACGATGCTACAGTTAACAGGTCAGTCACTGCGGTATGTTCTCTAGTGATGTCCCGCTTTTACTTGTCTTCTCGCTCTTAAAGTCTTCTTGGCAGACACTATGAACAGAACGCTGCAACCTGGTCTCGCGACTCTTGTATAGAACATCATAATTCCTTCAGGCAGGTAATTACGCTGCTGGTGGTCTTAAGGACATAGCTTAGACTATCAGGATTCATCATATTCGAAGCCGCCTTCGTTAGGGTATTTACACTTGCGCTTCACGTTCCTGCTGCTTTAAAAGGCTGTGTCTACAGGACGGGCGTCGTGGCGAAGATTTCTACCACTGTTCATTTTTTAACTTGTTAAGGGCGCGCACACAGACACGGACACTAGAACAGACCAAGAGCGCCCAATTATCCGTGCACCTTTGTACCACTGGCCTCACGAATCTCCAAGATGTCATTGACAAAAAATATTGTGGTGGGTGGAGATGCGCACATACCTTTGAAGGAGATTGCAGACACAAACGTTGCTGAAGGCTCAACGTTCTTTTTTTTTCAATCCTTCCCTCTGGAACTCAGGGCTGAAATGATACCAGTCGGTAAAAACGCGCCACATGATATCCCTTCGTCGCATACTATTGTTGCAACGGGAAAGAAAACGACATGCTATGGACGTCCACAAGCAGGGCTGGGCAAATTTACTTTGAAGTTGTATCGTGACACGATACAAGATACCCCGACGAAAAGTATTGGAGATACAAGATACTGCTGCAAAAATTGTATCCGATACAGCACTTGTCAATCGCATTTTAAGATAGTTCTATACAATCACCAATTTGTTGTTATACACACCCACAAGCTAGTAGAGAGCACATGCGCACAAAAATATCGGCTTGAAATTTTCTTCAATGTGCCCAATTGCATTTTATTGAAATGTTTGTTTACATCCCACAAATTTTTGTCCCAAAGTAAATTAGTTTACTTTCGAGGATATTAGGATTCGATTTAGTTGTTTAATAGGAGAGCTCATTAGATACTTCGCTGACAGCGGTTCTTTCTTGTCATTTTCAGTAATTGATTGGAGTCGCTCCTTAGCTTGCCGACCAGCTAGCGGATGTTGGATTTTATCACACCAGCTTCAATAAGAAGTCTTCGCATGATGGCACAAAATACCGGTGTGCAGTTTCAGCTTGTCCATGAAAGACCGTTTTGCAATATTGATTCACTGGTGTACAACTGCAACAACGCCGACAGCGACATATTTGTGAAACATTGTGCATATAGGTCCACCGATATAGAGCGCATAAAGCCGCTGTTATTTTACTTATTCTTTTTATCTGCTGGCATAAGCCATTCGTTATCATGCTCACTAACGTGCAATCTATTTTCTTGAACGATAAAACATGGGTACCTCAGAAACGTCTCATGCCTATTCTTTTGTGACGTGGTAGTTGGTGGCTATGAAATAAGCGGCAGTCACTCTGATAGATATGAAACTCACTAATCAGCTAACGTGTTCCCTGAAAACTAAGTATAATTTGAAGTACAAGTCAAGCACATTATACTCTGATATGGCAAAAAGGAAGAGAGAGGAATATTTTAATGAAGAGCTGGATAAGTTTGTCTGCATGGCTTTTTGCCTGACATGTCACTCCAGGTGCTGGGTGATGATTATGACATGTACAGAATTAACACATGCAGTCACGCACTACGGTA